TGTTTGCTTTATTTAATATTCGTTTCAAGTCAAGCTTCAGAGACACTGAAAGATCCAATACTTGTAGAAACTAATTTGCAGTCCTTCAGCAAATTCACTTCACAACACAATCTAGTGCAGGTAACCCCACCTTCCCTAAGTTCACTTTATGCCACTTTGCTTTAATGAAAGACCTTTGTCAGAACCTCCCTGGGTCACGGAGAGAAAGCCAAAGAGGATTTTCTCTTTTATGACAAAAGTTGAAATTAGAAAATAAACTTGAGAACTTGTTTTGCAGCAAGCTGTTACTGAGGCAGTGTGTCCGCAGAGGCAGCAAGAGCAGCCTATCGTGCCCCTTTCCTGGGAACGACTTGCCCAGGCTTTGTAGTTATCAGAGCATTTGTGCTTTTACTGTAAGTTAGTGCCATGTTAGGTTTTATGTGTTATTTGGTATGCTTTGGTAGGTTACTTTTTGGGTCCTGGAAAACGCAAGAATGTTTCCCTATAAATGAATGGTACTTGCTTGCTGCCCTTACACCTCCTTGACTTACTAAAACTTTCACAGGGACACTACATTTGGACAGTAACCAAACCTGTGACTTCAGATGTAGACAAGAATCGGGAAGCTAATATAGCATTTCCATGTATTCTTTTTAAAAATTTAATTAAATTTGGGCCTCCCTTGGTGGCGCAGCGGTTGAGCGCTGGGCTGCGAGGCTGCCCGCAGCCTCTGCAGCGCCGTTTCGTTCTCCGGCTGCCAGCGAAGGTCCCACCAAAAAAAAAAAAAAAAAAAATTAAATTTTATTGTTTTGCCATTGATTTACACAATTATTTAAATTGGAGGGATACATCTTCACCTCTATGTGTGCATCAGCCTCACCTCACTCTCCACCAAAGTTCTAAATACTTGACTTAGCTACCCCTAATGCTAACCTCTTATGCAGAACCACGCAAATTTATCAAACCCAAGAAATCAACATTGGGTTGAGGTTAGTTGGTTGCTACTGCTCCTCTTTTCAGGCTGAAGGTGGGCCTGCAAAGGCTCCGCCTGCAGTCACTTGCACTTCTGTGGATCACTTACCATAATTTTTCCCACTCTGCACCGTACGGTGGCCGAGGAGGCTCGCGTTTTGCGGAAGTGCGGCGTCTGGCGTGCCCACGCTGGGGACGCTCCAGGCGCCAGTGGGAACCGGCGCTTCTTTTTCTTTTCGGAGTGAAGGTCCTGGAGGGTTTAATGGACATGGGGGAAGTGGAGGCTTTGATTGCAGTGGCAGCATCAGCAACAGCCACCTTTGAGGCCGATGTAACTACGGAGATGGCGCAGAGGCTTTAGCAAATGCCAGGGCCTAGGATGTCCAGAAGGCGTGGTTTTATTAGCGTTCCCGTCCCCGTGAAGATGTTGTAGTTTGTAAATGTACCACGGAGGAAAGAGACGTGCCTTGTTTCAACGGTCTAATTATTTAGAAAACGAAGCATATGTTGGAAAAGTGGATGAAATATTTGGGCAACTTAAGTACTTTTATTTTTCAGTTAAATTGGCAGAAAACATGAAGGCATCTTCCTAAAAAATAAAAGGTACAGAAGTTTTGTACAGACCTGTAGGAGCCTCCCTAGCAGCGGTTTTTACCTTCATTGCTAGATTAGAGGGGACCTTCCAGAAACAGGAAGTAGTTAAGAAGTGCAATGGGAGGTAGTGATGGAGGCCTCAGAGGAGGAGGGAGGGGGGTTAGAGGGGAGTACTTTTAGTGTCCAGTTTAGTTTACAGTTGACAGGCATTTTAAACCCAGTTCACTTCTGCTTGAACCTGCATGATCTGCTTCTAGGGATGGAAACTGGTTCTTTCTTTTTTTTTTTTTTTTTTTGGTGGGACCCTCGCCGGTGGCCAAGGATCGAACTGGCGCTGCAGAGGCTGCGGGCAGCCTTGCCACCCAGCGCTCAACCGCTGCGCCATGGGGGAGGCCCGGAAACTGCTTTCTTGAGCTAGTGTATGGTAAATTAAAGTGATCTGGGTTTTTTTTTCCCACCGCCTCCAGGTCATTGGCGTCTGTGATTGACCTCTGTGGTAAGGTCAGCAGCAGAGGACCGGAAGCTGCAGAGGACCTTGCAGCAGAGCGTAGTAGAGAGCACTAGAGAACACCAGAGAACCCAAAAAGAGTAAAGATTGGGGAGCAGAGTGAGGGGAGCTAGGAGCCCTGCCAGTCTCCTGGCCCTCCTACCTGCACGCCCTGTACCCGGTTATCTCACTACAAGTGGTGCAGAAAGATCATTAAAAGCCTGAAAAAGCCACTGAGGGCTCCAGGACTCTCCTTTACCCATCTGCCTGGGTCCATAGAGAACCTGCTCCATGCTTTATTGGCACTACAGCTAGTCTTAAAGTTTGATTTTATGATAGTGGAACTGAAATGTCAATGTCATGCAAAAATGAGTGCAACAGAAGAGGCAGTTTTAATGTTTTGCACAATTCCTGGAACTTTGGGTGTTTAATAATTGATAGTTTTCATTTGAAGCATAAAAAAGCAAACATGGGCATAATATGAAATAACTGACAGGCTTTTTAAAGATGGCATCAGTTTTTCCCACAGGTGACTATTGATGGCTGTGCTTTTTCTAACTGGAATTACCTGCGTCAAAGTTAAAAGGGCATACCCTGCTTGCCAAAATGAAAAATAAGTCTCAGGTGTTAGTATCCAACTAGCAGGCCAGGAAGCTGTCTGTATAAAGAGAGACAAACTACATTTCAGTTAGGTACTTAGTTGTGTTCTTTTGTTTAGATACTATGCCTCTCACTCCATAATTTCTTTTTTATTTTTTTTAAGATTTATTTTTATTTCTACAAGAGCTGGGGTACAGTTCAGAGTCACAGGAAGGTGAGAGGATTCACCTGAGATAGAGTGGGGAACAGAACAGGCAGACTGATGAATACACTGCTGAGGGGAGCAGTGGGTAAGACAGGAGAGGTCTGCTGTGTCATATGGGACTCTCCCGGGACAGCTTGGAATCGAACCTGCACCGCAGAGGCTGGAGACAGCTACCCAGCGCTGCACTCAACCCGCTGTGCCACCGGGGAGTCCCTCTCCATAATTTCTATCTGCTGTTTTCTTCTGTCATTTCCTGGTTTGGGGGAATTAGTGGTCTAGTTGAATAACAGAGTGGTTTGTCAGTCAGGAACTGCAGCATATTTTTATCTTTGATTAATATGAAGTGCATGTGTGTTTGGAAGTTTAGTTAATGTGTGAGAAGCTTACCAAGGAACTGAAGTCAGTATTTGTGGAATGACTTCAGAGAGAACACTTAATTGAGCCACTTTTTAACTTTCTTCTAAACTATTCTTAAGTGGAATTAAGTTCTGATATCTAAATCCTGTGTCTGCCTTTCAGCTCTGTAATGCGCTGCCTGATACTTAACTACTTGAGCCAGTTGGGAAAAGACTCTACAACTTGATTTGAGGTAACTTGTTTTTTAAAGACTCATTGCATGAGGCAGCCATAGATCAGGGATTTGAAACTCTTTACATTTTCATTTGTCTTTCTTCTTGGTTCCCTCATATGTCAATTGTCTTCTGAATACAATTAACTTTCAGTGCTGGAGCTGTGAATTTAATCTAGAGGATTTTTCAGAAAACACTAAGGACTTCTAAAGGTGATTTATTACCATGTGTAGATTATCCCTGTTGTCATAGGATTTATCTCCAAATTGGTACTACCTGCCTCTACTTGCATTAATACTTGCGTTTTTGGCCCATCAGCAGTAATGGCTACATTTTCCAGTGCTTTGCAGCCCCAAAGTTTTTCTGTCTTGTTCTTGTGTTATGTTTAGGCATCTCAGTGAGATCTGTATGTCATGACTCAAACAACTGAGACTTTGGATGTGTAGTTGTCCAAGAACAGACATATTGAGGGACTGAATTGGGGTGAGACACTAGGTTTATTTTTTTTCTTGATCTTAACTTTTTTTTTTAAAAAAAGATTTATTTATTTATTCAAGCACTGGGTACAGTCAGAAGCATGGAAGGGTGAGAGAATTCACCAGCGTGGGGAACAGAACAGACAGACTGACGAAATACACTGCTGAGGGAATCGGTGGGGGCGGCAGGAGAGGTCTGCGGCCATGTGGGACCCTCGCCGGTGGCCGGGGATCGAACTGGTGCTGCAGAGGCTGCGGGCAGCTTCGCAGCCCACGCTCAACCGCTGTGCAACTAGGGGAGGCCCCTCTCAATCTTAACTTTAACCAAGTATAAGATACAACAGCACAGTGAGTGCTTACTTAGTATTGTTGATAGGTTCAGTGAAAGGACATATAACGAAACTGATTTTACCATAGGGTAGTTGATATAAACAAAGTTCCTACAACATATTCCTGGTCGTGAAAACATCACTAAATTTCTAAATAAAGACTCCAAAACTTTCTATAAAACAACTTTTATTCATTCATTTTCTAATCTTCTTATTTTAGTTCAGGGTCTTGGGTGGCTCTAGCCTATCCTGGTAGCTCAGGGTACAAGGAAGTAACCAACCTCTATTCCATTGCTGGTCTCTCCCCATCCTTTTCCTCTTTGTCCTCCCCCTCTCCCCACCTTCTCTACCGGAACAGTTTAGATGTGTGAGAGGAACCAAACATGCATGTCTTTGGAAGGTGGGAATAAACTGGAGCACCTGGAGAGAACCCACGCAGACGTGGGGAAGATGTGCAAACTCCACACAGACGGTGGCCCAGATGGGGGATGGACTTCTCCCCCCCATCAATAACAAAACTTTGACCAGAATGACGTTGAGGACTATGCTCCAGGAGGCTTTGTGTGCTTGCTATTTCTTTTTTTTTAAGATTTATTTATTTATGCATACAAGAACTGGGGTACAGGCCAGATGTGCAGGGGGTGAGAGGATTCACCAGAGACAGAGTTGGGAGAACAGGAGGATTGACTGAAATACACTGCTGAGGGGAGCAGCGGGCGAGACAGGAGAGGTCTGCTGTGCCATGTGGGTTGCTCTCTGGTGGGGGATCGAACTTGTGCTGCAGTGGCTGCCGATGGCTTCATAGGTTGCGTCTTAAGCCCTTGTGCCACAAGGGAGGCCCATGTGTGCTTGCTATTTCTAATTGTAGAAATGGCCTCAAATTTCAATTATGTTCAAATGTCAGTGACTTTCAAATGTAATTTGTCCTTGGTTATGAAATCACTTAGCCAAAACTAATAGTGTGGGGTTTTCTTTGTTTATTCAAATCATAAGAGGCAATAATAAAGGAATTTCTTAATTTTCAACAGGGGTTAACTCTTTTCATTTCAGCTGTTTCCTGTGGAAGATTTTGCTGCTGCAGAATAACTAGAACATTTAGTTCCGTTCTTTCTGACTGATCCAGCATTTTCTAGACTCATGCTTGCTAATTCTAGTCTAGCTTTTGTTCATTTATGAGTTTGCCTTTTTAAGTACTTAGTTTAGAACACAAGAGAAAGCTTTTTATCTTGGGTTTCCTCATTTGCAAAGCACTAATGACCTCAGTTTTTCCTGCTGTTAGTACTTCTAGAACTCTTCAGACCTAATCAGAGTAGGACAGAGATTTAATTTTATAAAAACACTTGGCAGGCAAATCATGGGCAGTGGAAAGGTCCTGCTTGGATGTGATACAGTAGAAATTAGCTTAGCTTGAGAAGGTCAAATTTGCCCTTGCCATTCATCAAGTTGGGACAACAGATAGAGAAAAAGCCAGCTGCACATTATCAAGAGACTGTTTACCTCCAGGTCATTTCAGCCGTAAAGTATCATAAGAATCTCCCCAGGTTTGTTTTTTTTTTTTTTTTTTTCAGATTTATTTATACAAAAACGGGGTGCAGGCCAGATGCGTGGGAGGGTGAGCAGATTCACCAGAGACAGAGCAGGGAACAGAACAGGCAGACTGATGAAATACACTGCTGAGGGGAGCAGTGGGTATGACAGGAGAGGTCTGCCGCCCATGTGGGATTCTTGCCAGCTGGCCAGGACCGAACCCGTGCTGCAGGGCCTGCGGACAGCTTCACAGTGCAGCGCTCAACTGCCTGTGCCACCAGGGAGGCCCAAGCACCTCCCGAGTTTTAAAGGAAAATATAGGAATTTCTCCAGTTTATTTTATGATACTGTAGGGACAGGAACAGGACACAGTGCAGGTTTTATGATCCAGCAGACCGGGTAAAGGAGGAGTCAGAGTCCTCAGTGGCTTTTGCAGGTTTTTTTATTTAGATTACCAGGTACATGGCAGGTTGGCCCTGCCAGCCTCCTAGGTTCGATCCTGGCCGGCCGGCAAGAATCCCACATGGGCGGCAGACCTCTCCTGTCGTGCCCACTGCTCCCCTCAGCAGTGTATTTCAGTCAGTCTGCCTGTTCTGTTCCCCGCTCTGTCTCTGGTGAATCCTCTCACCCTCCCACACATCTGGCCTGTACCCCGGTTTTTGTATAAATAAATCTTAAAAAAAAAAACAAAACTTGGGAGATTCTCACCCTCCCACGCATCTGGCCTGCCAGCCTCCCAGCCCCCAGCAAGTCTTAACTCTATCTGGGCTCTGCAGTGTTCTCTCTCTCTCTCGGCTGCTTCTGCTGCTGGCCTCCCCGTGACGCCGCCATTAAAAGTCCAGTCTCTCAGCCCAGGTGTACCCACTTCATGTGCCCGCCATCAGGCATGCATCCAGGACCACAGGGTTCCCTCATCTATCCTAATGGCGGGAGGGCAGAAAAGCCTGATACTTTTACCTACCCTACAGATACTAACATTAATTTGAAAACCTGAAAATGACTATAAAGAAGTAAGGAAAGAAGGGAGAGGAGGGAGAAATAAAGCTACATAATAGTTATCACTCAATCGAAAGTAGGATCCAGCAATATATCAAGAGATAGAGTGGGTTACTCTCATGAAAGCTATCACCATAATCCATCCAAGCAGCAAATTAAAGGGAAAAAAATCTAATGATTACAACATTGCATGCAGAAGAGACACCAGATGAAGTGTAGCCCCAACCTTCTTCTACGTGACTGCTTTCTAAATCACTGAGAATCTTTGTTCTCTAAAACGATGAATTTCAAAGTCAAGTTTCTGATAGCCTGTCAGTGAGACCAGGTCCTCCACTCTTTCCTGGAGTGTTTGGGACACTGTGACAGAGAAGAAGCCTGGGTTTCCATCCCAGGTGCAGATGAGGGGTTCCAGAACATGTTCCATATCTGTCTTAACTTTACTGTCTCCAAGGACATAGAAACTTGGGGCTACTTTGTAGTGGAGTCCTGGTGTTCATTTCTTTACACAGTGACTTTACACACTGCCCTGACTTGCTTCGAACCCATCATTTATCTAACTTCCCCCTTCCCTCTTAGTCCCCCAAATCCTATAACATACCTTTTCCCTTTTGAGAGCTGTCCTGACTCCACTTGTTCCTTCACACTGCAGTGAGTCAGCAAATCTGACCAGCGGACTCCAGGTTTGTTCCTGGTGGTTTGAGGCTGATTGAACAAATCTACATGGCTAATGGGTTGGTTGGTTTTTTAGGGAAAAAAATTAGCTCAGATAGCACCAGTGTAAGACACTCTCTGAAGGACAGAGAGCTGAGTCTGTCAGATGTTGGCTATTTTGAAATTTTTGTAAGTTGCCTATGGTCAAGATTTTGGCCAAAATATGGTATGCAAGGGCCTCACCATCATTTTCAAGCAGTTCCTCCCCTGGTGTGCACCACCCTATTTGCCATACACAGCCAGCTCAGTCTTCCAGTTGAGGCTCTGACAGAAATCCAGACTCCTTTGTGCTGTCATTCTAGATAGAAGTTTCTCTTGGAAAAGTGTCATTCTTCAATAAATTGCCCGGTCTTTTCTATCATCCTATGAGCATGTCAGTAGTCAAATGAGTTACTCTTTGGTGGGGCAACTACACAGAGCACTTTTGAGAAGCACCTGGCCAGATCTTAGAGTAAACAGTCTTTCCTTGGCGACACTCCACTTGTGCCCCTTGTCTGAATGTTAAAAAGCTGAAGTTCACTGCTGTAATCTCTGGTTTACTCTCTGTTCTGCCTTATTTCTCATCATACAAACTCCAGCGATGTTCAGTTTGAAAGAGTACAAGGTAGTCACGTTCCCCCACGTTGTTCTAATAAGCCAGCAAATCAGGAAAACAAAAGGAAAATGTGTTTTTCTTTTCTTTTAAGTCTTCCTAAAGGACTCTAATTCAGATTTTACTTTTAAGCCTACCTTGTACTTTACCTCTGAAATGCACACATCCTGTTATAAAATACCTAAGCAACTAGCTGTGGGAAAAAAAATTAGTCTAATTTATTGTTAGTCATATCCTTTCAAGTATTAGGGACCTGACTTGGCCTGCAGGGACTCTGCCTTTGCCTCTGATTTGCTGTTACCTTGTACATATCTCCTTAGTTTCCTAGGCCTTGAAGGGGTAGATTTTTTATTTTGTGTGCATAACCTCTATTGGACCCTTGAATTTTATAGAATTTTCAATTTGGTTTCCAGGGGCCTGTAGGCTTCTGAGTCAAGCTTTACTTGGCTAAGGTTTGCCAAGCTGCACCACTATTCTGTACCTTGTGAGGCCGCTCTGGGGCTGCAGTGACATTTGAATTTTACTGGGCATCCTATGAGGAAACACTTGTGTGCACCCACAGGTGGCCTTAGCATCAGCAGATTTATCTTAGCTGTGGCTATGTTGTGATAGCCCTTGGGACTTAAAATTGGTGGGGTACCCTTAGGAATAGAAGAGACATATTGGGCACAATAGTAGTGAGGGTGTAGAGAGCCTGGCTGTACATGAAACTGAGGGTGGTTAGTAGATCAGAGAGGCTCCACAGGAAGGCCAGATGCTATTGGAAGCAGAGAGAGGCTGGACTAGCAAACAGCAGTGTTCCCTGCTGAGTCACACTCAGATGTAAGTGTTGTATTGCAAACTTGAAACTGGCCCCCATATACAGAGGGCAAGGAGAGACTAAAGAAAGGAACAGACCACTCCAGATGGGTAGGTGGCAGTTTTAATAAGCAAGGGGACTTATTAGGCTTTTTTCGGCAGCTTCAAGACAGGTAGATCTCCATTTCCACCCCGACTTTCCACCCCTCAGCCAGAACATTTAAGTTTATTGAGAGGCCTTATTTGGGTTCAGTAATACACACCATTGTGCACACCATCTCACCACCACATTGCTATGTCAGGGCTGTGTCTTTGAGGCAGCTTCTGGTGTGGGGAACTTACATTCCAAGGGCAGGGGAGGGGTTTAGGAGCCTTGAACTGACTGGGTCCAGCTTTCAGGTCAACTGGCAGTTACCTCCTCTTGATGACCTCCTCTAAGAGTAAGCAATCTTAAAGGACTATTGGCCAATTAAAGAGTCAAATTGCCAAATCAGAGAGGACAATCATCTCATCTGTTCATGAGGGTAGATGGTTCAAAAAGTCAGAAAGATCTGAGCAACAGAACATGTCTGAGAGGCATGTGGGCAACTGGGGATTTCTAAGTCCTATGATATCAGAGAGAAGTGACATCCCGCAAGTACCGTGGTATCTGGGCATTAAGTGGTAGATGGTCCAGGGATTGAAGCTGTACTTGATCTGGAATTACATTGGGAGTGGGCAGACTGCTCACTAAAGTAGAGTAGGTGTCACATTCTGAGCAATAAAATGACACAGGTACTCCTTAAACCCCTGCCATGTACCTTAGATGCATGGGAATGATGGTGGAGAAGATGTGGTGCAGACTTGAAAAACATTGAGTTTATCCTCAAGTGTGGATTGGACTGGAAATAAAGTGGGTTAATCCACAAGTTGCCAATTGCCAAATTTTACGAGGTGGTGGTGTATGGAGCAAATGTATTACCTGTGTTTGAAGTTGGACACCAGAGTAGGGCCGCAGTAGCCATGGGAAAATTTAGGCATGTCTGAATAGAGCTTTGACGGGTGCAAGATCTTGAAGTTTTCACACATTGTCTAAACCAAATTTAGGTGTGGAAGTGATTACCTTTTATGTCAGATATAATCACCAGAGATCTCTGCATTCTAGGTGGGTCAAAAGGAAGAAGTGAACACAAATCTTGTGGAACTACTGAATTCACCTGAAGCAATATCCCAGAAGACTGCCCAGGTAAGTGGCCTAATTCTATCCATAGCCTTGAATCTTGTCCTTATTGAGTGTGGCCAGCCATTGTCCAAGCCAGATTGTTTCCTTTAGCTTTTCAGTAACATCTAAAAGTCCTTCCCTGAGGGCTGGCAAAGCTGGAGTTTCCCAGAGAGTTAGTTTGATGATGGCCTGTGAGGATGTGTAGGATCAAGAGCAGTTTAAGCATGGATGACACTCTGAGCCTGGTGATGTGGTAGAGTTTGAAGTCTCTGTTAGCCAAGCCCTGGAACAACCTTCACTGCAGGTTGGTGTCAGCACCTCAGTTTGTGTGACTTCCAGAAGGGAGTCTCCTTTTGCTCTGGACTAACTTCTGGATACTTGGCCGGTTGTGCAGCTATATAAAATGCAGAGGAAGTTCCTTGCCTGTTTAAAATATTTCTAGAGATGGAATCCTCAGAATGATGGCTATGAGGAGCAGGGCACTGGGGACACAAAGGCAGGTCTGGTGACACAGCTGAGAAAACAATGGCTGAATCTTGTGGTAATTCTGATAAGCTTAATAGCTGGAAGAAGCCTAATGCCAAAGGTTCAGTAAAGTCAAAGAAGTCTGTACCCGTGGGTAGTTCCACCAGGATAGTTTTGTAAGATGTTAACCCCACTCTTAGCAGGGCTGTTTGTCAACAGGGGCTTACATTTTCTGTTGGACCACTGTGTGTTTCACAGATTTGGTAATTTTCTTTAATAGACTGTCATGGTAGATTGGAGGCAGGTTTGGGCATCGCTGCTTAGAGCGATGAAATGAGCATGGGGATACGTACACATGGGGCTCTGCTGGTCAGTGTCTACTACTGGGCCAAGGTGCTTCCTAGCAGCAGGGACAAAACTTTCTTGAGCCTTGGGAAAGTGGGCATCGTATAGCAGCCCACCAATGGGATGTGCCCTTCTGTGGGTGCCGGTGTGAACCTGCCTGGCTGAAAGGTACCACCTTCTCATCAGTGAGGTAAGTAGGAATGTGTGTGGGGAGGGGAATAGCTGACCTCAGCCATTCTCAAATGTACTTATTTTAGATGAGGGGGAGCCCATTGGACTGGAATGCAGCCTCCTCTACTTCCATGCTTCTCTTCTTGGCTTTAATAATTGGGCCAGTGCCATTGCTCACGTATGCATGTATGTGAGGCACAGACCTGTGCAGGAAAGGCCCATGACTTTTCCTTGGGTTGTCAACGTTGTGACTAGAGCTGTGGGGTCTGCTCTGTGTTTCCACTCTATGGCAAACAGAATGAAAGAGTGGTGTTCTTCTGTTCCTTAAGAGTTTGGATTCTGCATTTCAATATTCAGTTATAATTGAGCAGAACAGCTAAGCAATTAGGTGGGCTTGATGGGAAATGGTCTGGGATGGTGGCAACATGTGCACTGCAGCATCAGATCAGTTACTACTTGAAATGTGCAGGGCTGGTATTTCTGACCCAGTGGTTTCTCTGCAGTCCTAGTTTTCTTAGGGACAATTGAGTTGTAAAACTGCACTGTCATGGTAGGAATCGTAGAATCTGAGGGTTAGTCTAGTCTGATCTAACTGACCAATGAATGGGATCTAATGGCAGAGGAAGCTCTGGTTTAAAGCTGCAGCCGTTCCTTAATTCTAATTTACCTGGAGAAGAAGAATTTTTTTTTACCAGAACTATAAGTACAGAGGGACAGAAATGTGATCAGTGTGTTTGAAGAGTTTTGAGTAATGAGGAAACTGGCAGGCGATAAGGCTGGATGATGTAGAGTTTTAGTAGGTCATGGTAAAGAGTTGGAAATTTTCTCTGAAGTACATTGTCAGGTCATTGGAAGACTGAAAACAGGGACTTGTCATTTGACATACATGGTAGAAAGGTCACCCTGATTTGTACAGGGGTTGAAATGGAGCAGGACCAGTTAGGAGGACTTGACCTTCGCATATGGTGGTGCCTCAGGTGGACACGGTGGAAGGTCGGGAGAATGAATTTAATTTTGAAAACTTTTGAAGCTTGAATAATCTATGATGGGTTGACTTTGGGATGATTTATGAATCAAAGATAAGATAAATTTGTAGCTCAAACAACTAGGTGGATGGTGACTTTGGCTGAAGTGAGTAGGACTAGGTGTGTTGGGTACTACAAGGTGATCTGAGGAGTTCTGATTTGAACATGCTAACTGTGATATGCCTAAATATGTGAAATGCCAGGTGGCAAACTCATTGAGGTAAAGAGTAGTCCTTTTTCTTTGTGTCTCCAGTGTCTAGTACCTGACACACAGCAGATGCTGCAGTGGTTGAATTGGATAGAAATGCTATTTCAAAGAAAAATTGTCACGTTGTAGCTAGGGAATTTGGCAGGGATCTCATCATCCCCTCAGTAGGAAGCGCTCCTCTCTCTATTCTTTGTTTCTTTCCTGGCTATCTAGTTTTCTGCTGTATAAACTTTTGTTCTCTGTCAACTGGTTCTCCTTGTCTCTGAAACCATGGAATGGGAATGGGAACCTTGTTTATTAAATCATGGGGCCTTCTTCTAGTATACTAAAGTATATGTGAGAGTTCAGGTTCTGGAGCTTCTCACAAAAACCTGCCTGTAACTCCTAGTTGCCGTGGACATGGAGAGAAAATAACCTTAGGATTGTCATTCTTTGCTCTATAAGATTTTTTACTAGGACAGGAGTATTTATTTAGTTTATCTACTTTAGATTCCAGGGACTTTGGCTTGTATCTGACTTGGCTGTAAAACTTCTTCTTTACATCCATAAGATGGCTATGAAAATTTACACTTTGTATCAACTCTGATATCTACAGCTGAGAGCTTTTTCTGAAAAATGAAGAATTGCAGACATTGCCGTCCTGGGCTGGGCTAAGAATCTGCAAATTTGCTTATAATAATTACAAACTATCTTTGAACTGTTTATTTGCTTGTATATTTAAGTATTGAATAATTTTCATACAGTCAGTAGCTTCATCTTTCCATTCATTCCCAATCAAGTTGGCAATATTGGCCATTTCAGTATGCAGCATTAGATGCAGCCACAGGCCCATTGTCACTAGCTGTATTTCAGTACAGCATTTTACAAAATGCTGCAGTGATTACTCCTGCCCTTTGGAAAGTACGGTCCCTTCTGCAGCTGCAGCAGGGGCTCTGCCTTTTTTTCCCATGGGCTGCTTTGGCAGTCTGGTATCTGTGGACCGTTCAGAATATAAAATTGTAAAATAAAACATGACATTTTAAGTAAAATAAAATCCTTTAAATAAAATAATTCAAAATCAATTCTTTTGAAATGCAATAATTTTAGAACAAATTGGTGATCTATTAATGCATTAAATAATAAAACAATATATTTTAAGCACATTCAAGTTGTTAAAGTATAAAGAAAACTGTGTGAAGTCTGCTGAGTTTGAATCACAACATTAAATTGGGGTCATGTTCAGACAAGACCATCTGCTTGTCATATTGGACAGCTAATCTGTTCTGATTTTCTTGTTTGTTAAATGGGATATAGGGTTGAAAAGTCTCAATTTCAAAGTACATTGTTTCAAAAGAAATGAAAGCTTCTCTTGTTCACAATTGTAAGGCAAAGTTTGAATTATCCAAGACTTTTTGAGTTAAACTCCAACTGTATTAAAGCATTTGCACTAAGATCAGTAGGCTATTTTATAACTCAACAGTAGAGAATAACCCCATTTTAAAAATTGAGAAAGGATTTGAATAGACACTTCTCCCAAGAACAAAGGCAAATGCTAATAAGTGCATGAAATGATACTCAATATCTTTAGTGTTAGAAAATTAAAACGATAATGAAATAGCACTTCATACCTACTAGGAAGGCACGGATAAAGACTGTTGTTAGTAAGCATGAGGAGAGTTGGATCCTCAGGCATTGTTTTGGGAATAAAAATTGGTGCCAGTGTTTTGGAAAACAGTTTGGCACCTCCTTAAAATGTTTTCACATAGAATTACCACATGTGACTCACAATTTCACTCCTAGATATATATTCAAGAGACCTTAAGACATCTCTCTGCACAAAATTGTGTGTAAATGTTCATAGAAATATTATTTATAATAGCAAAGGAGTAGAGACAATGCAATGTCCATCAGCTGATGCATGGAGAAACAAAATTTGTCATATCTCTACAATAAAATATTGTTCAGCAATAAAAAGGATGAAACTTGAAAACATTAAGTGAAACAAGCCAGTCACAAAATACCACATATTATATGATTCCATTTATATGAAATTTCCAGAATAAACACGATAAAAACAAAAGTAGGTAGTGGTTGCCAGGGACTGGGGAAAAGGAAAAGGAGAATACCTGCTAATTGCCATGGGGTTCCTTTTTTGGGTGATGGATGCTTGTAAATTAGTGGTGATAGCTGTATAGCCTCAAGAATATACTAAAAAACCCTCTGAATTGTATACTTTAAACAGGCTGATTTTTTTTTTCATATGTGAATTATATCTCAAAGTCATTAGTTAAAAAAAAAAATTAATAGGACCTCTTTGGCGAGGCCAAACTATTTGATACAGTTTTATATTTAAGATTATGTACCCATGGTTCACTTTTATCATCAAAAAAACCCCACAACTTTTTGAAAAGAGTTCCAGAATGTTTTCAGTTTTTATCAGTTATCTTTTGTCAAGGAAATGGACAACATTTAAAATTGCAGTTTTATCTTAACTTCTCCCAGCATTTTCAGTTATTTGGATCTCTGTGCCTTCCTAGAAAAAATGGTTTCATGTATGATTGATTTTCTTGCAAAAATTATCTTTTAAATGGGGGTTGTTTTCACAGAATTGGCAAAAATGCCTCCTAAAATACTATGTATCATCCAGTACTTGTCTTTACTTCTTAACCACATACAAAAAGTATAAGGAAAAAAAAACAACTTTTCTACTTAACCTAAATCATTGTGTAATCTGTTAGTAATATCTGTTGAAATGCATTATTTAAAGTTACTTAACTGTAGGGCCT